TTATAAATTTGCGAGACGACGTTTTGGAAATATTTTTCGCACAAATATTTAATAATACCTTTTCTTTTAAACTAGACGCGCAATGAAAATTTGTACACCCTCGTCACACAAACATTTAAAAATTTGATTTTTGGCGAAAATTGGGCGCATGTTTGAATTATAAATACATTTCGTCGCACAAGATCCTACTTTATAATTCTTATAGAGTCTATCTCTCTCTTGATTCTTTTCGAAGCTCTCACTCTCCTCTCTCTCGATTCTCAGTCTCTTCCTCTCTTGCTCTCATCACTCACCATCTTAGTCCCTCCCTCTCTCTTTCCCCCTCTCTCCCTCTTTCCCTCTCTCCATCTCTCTTTGTTTATCTGTTTCTCTCTCACTCTCTTCTCCGCACTAGACATCCACCGCCACAATCCTATGCCACACCATCTCTATGCCACCACAACATTACCATGTAAGCACCCACTCTCCCTTAATTTTATTATTTATCATTTCAAATTTTCATTTTTTTTCTGTTGAATTGTTTTAATTAGAACAATTAGAGATTTAAAGTTTGAATTGGGAATCCTAGGTTAGGGTTTTTGAATTAATTAGAACAATTAATTATCACACAACATTACAAGTTATCACAATTAATTTTCGAATTAATTCGAAAATCTTGGGTTAGGGTTTTCGAATTGGCATTCCTTCCTTAAGATATTGCTTTACTGTAATTTTCATGGAGGCCTTTGTGGCTTCTATCCATGTGCAAAGCCAACATAGGCTTAATAAACTTGCATTTTTATTAGTTGGCTGGCCATTTACTTTTAATAGGTTTTAGGGAAAAACATGGGTTTAAGCTGATTTAGTACTATTTTAGAGCTATATTGCTTCAGGTAGTTGTTCTTGGCTGAGAATTAGGAACCTTTGCACATGAAAAACCATATAAAATTCATGCAAGATGGAGAGGAAGTGGGAAAAGGAACCTCTTCATTAGTTTAAAACTTGAACTTATCTACTTCTATGAAGATAAGTACTTGATTTAGAGCTTATCTACTTCTTCTATGTACTTGAGTCTAAATTTTGTTTCCTGCAGCTCAGATTAGTTTAAAATAAACATTACTTATATAAGAAAGAACATTTAAACCATGCCCAATGTGTAGTTATGCTTGCATGATCACTAATTGTTCTTAGATGTATGTAAATAGTATATAGAACTGGAAACCTGTGATTGAACTTGATCATTGGATTAATATTACAAAAGAATTGTATGCAGTGGCGGATCTATAAAGAGACTTGGAAGGTCCCAGGACCCATCGGCGGCCCTAAATCGTTGCTTGAAACTTTCTGGAGACCCCTCGTATGCGAAGAAGAAGGCTTGTGCATAGTGACCGCAGCAACGGCATCTTCACGAAGAAAAAAACCGAGCGAATAAGAAATGTTTCTTTTCCAGCCTTGGCCCAAAACGCTCGTTTTGGCCAAATTTTTTTAAAGAAAAAAAAAAAACCTAAAACAACTGCCAAAACGTTGGTGTCTCCTCTTTTTTGTTTTTAACTCCCCAGGTCCAGCAGTGCACATCCCCCTAGGTCCCACTTTTCCCCATCCTAATGCCCCGACTTCACATATTCGGAAACGGATTCCCTTCGGATCCCTTCCACCTAATCCTCCTTATCAAACAATCTAGACCTTTGAAATTTGATCCAACGGCTAAAAATAGGGGCCACTCTAAAAGTTATAATAATTTTAGCTGTTGGATCAAATTTCAAGGACCTGGATTGTTTGATGAGAAGGATTAGGTGGAAGGGATCCGGAGAGGATCCCTTTCCCACATATTGACCCAATCTCCTTTTCCCCAAATTGTAAAAATCCTAAAATTCTAAATTTCACCCAATTCCATATTTTCATTTTCCTCTATGTCAATTTGTTTCAAATCTCTACCCCACCACCTTTTTCAAGGCAAAGCCAATAGCATCATTTATTTGTTCGGGTAGTTCAAATTCAAGACAAAATAAGTGTAACATTGATTTGAATAATCTTGAGAGAAACTCGGAAAAAAGAATTCGAATGAAGGACTATAATCATAAGATTCAAGATGAGTGTGATATTGATTTATGAATTAAATGTATTACAATTTCACTTTTAAATGTTATTTTTGTCCATAAATTTTCAACCTTTATTATTTTTGTCCAGCAGGTTCACTCAGTGGAAGAGCGACCTCCACAAGCATTATGAGAAATATGACGGTCCAAAGGTTGCTTTAGCAGTTGGGTGCTCTAAGGAGTTGGTAGACCGCTGAGATGAAAGGGAGTGGCTCTCCGGCTATTTTAAGGACAAGAATACCTCGTAAGTATAATATATATTTCAATAATATTTAATCAAAATTTTTATATTTTAAAATAATATTTTAATTTTTTCATTAATTTGTTATAAATATCCAAACTAATATGTTTTTTATTCAACAGAAAAAAGTGAAGGAAAACTCGATCAATCGGTCGAAGAAGAAACTTCTTCACTGCTCCAGCTCGCGACCCTTCTCTTATAGGTTGGAGGAGTGATGTAATATAACCGTATATTTATTTTAAGTTTTGATTCTTTTTGCTCTCTATTACACAATTGGTAATCTATGTGTTAATTTTTTTTTTTAGGGGGGGTCAAAGTTTCCTGAGATTGACATGTTCAAGAAGGTATACGTTCGGCCCAAGAATGAGCTAGAGGAGCATCTTCATGTAAGTTATTTCAACTTTTTGTTATTCAATTAGTATTAATATTAATTACATGTATATTAAAATTAATTTGTTTGTTTTCATTTTTCTAGGCCACCATGGTAGAGAAGAGCAAGACCATTCTAGAGGAGGTGGCTTCCCAGCTTCTCCCAAAGACCTTGATCATGGAGGTGTTTCCTGCCGAGGATGCGGGTTTTCAGATCATGATGGACACACTTGATCAAACCCTCGGTCATAGGCAGGGGAATATTCACCAGGGGCTGGGGAAAGGCCGCCTTCGGGACCTGCCTGCCTCTTCCTCCTAGCAGATAACATAAGAGGTCGAATTGTTGACATCTGAAGTGGTGGACCTAATGGAGCAAATTGCCGCCCAACAGTCTTAACTTGCGATCCAGAGCAGTATGATAAACCAAATTCGTCTCGCCTTTCAGTTCTCTGGCATTTAGTTCCTCGACGCAGAACTTACTCCAGCAATGATCTCCCAACCTCCCGCTGTAGCAACTACGACCTCCCAGCCCCCTTATGTAGCAGCAACACCACCAGCGGGCGATTATGACGTGGATGACTCTATATTGTAGTTTTTTTTATTATTATTATATTTGAATTTTAAAATGTTTCTTCCGTTATGTACACTTTAAATATTTTTTTTAATTCAATATTCTTCTTTACATTTTCTATTTTCAATTTCATTAAATTAATTTAAACTACATAAAACAATCTTATCAACATTTAAAAGGAAAAATAAATAATAAATAAATAAAATGGTTGGTTCGCACAAAAATTATTGCGTCAGGCACCAGGTTCTTCAAGCAGAAGATTTCGTGCAACGAGCACCAATTTCGTTGCACAAAATGTTTCGCGCAACGAGCACTAATTCCGTCGTGCAATCACCAATTCGCATGATGAAGGACTTTTCTCCTCGGTCCAATGCCTAACATCACGAGCTTTGCGCAACTTCGTCTTTGCTGCCCAAAATTTCCGGTGACCAAATTCGGCTTGGAGCGACGATTGTGGCTTCGTCGCCCAATATGTTATTCTTAGTAGTGAAGGGTTTTCGGCCACAACCCTCTCACATTTAGGCAATACCCAACATGAAGAGAAGCCAGAATTAAAATGCTGACGTGGCCCCCTCAAAAGCCAAAGAAAATGCTCAGTCAATTTAGAGCCAAAAAAAGCCAAACAAAATGCTCAATCAAAATGTCTGAGATTCTTAGTTTTGTTTGGTGAATTAGGAAACTCATTTGGCTCTATCTGCATTTTTCTGAACAAAAGTGAAGCCAATATGGAAGTCTTGTTTTCAGTAAGACAAAGATTCAGGGCAGAAGAGTTAAATAACGACCTATGAAGACTTTAAATATAGAGTACTTGAAGTTAACGAAGACTTTGACCCAAAATCAAGCGCAATAGAGTTTTAAGATCTATACAGCTGACTCACATAGTGGAATAAAATTTAGTGGTTGTTGTCGTGTTTAATTCCCAATAATACAACTCACACATTTCAGTTTCATTTTTCTAAGTAATAGGTAAATTTCAACTTCTAGATAAGCTCAAGGTTTCCTTCTATAGTATTATGAATCTTTAGAGAGAGAGAAAGTGTCTGATCGAAAAGCACGAGTTAGAGAGTTAGAATCCTCTTTGAAATATATAGACATGAATTAAACAACCACACCGCAGAAAAGAAACACATATGAATTTATATGGTTTCGGCCAAGAATCTTGCCTATCTCCATTATGGTCTTGTGCATTAAATCCAGTGACATTAAGATATTCTGTTTTGAAATCGATGGTATATGTGCAATGGAATATAAAGTAAATAGGACATAATTTTTACGAGATTCGGCAAGTATGCCTACGTCCTCGGGACAATAGCAGTAGTCTTCTCCATTATCATACTGAAATTACAAAGTAATGGAAACAATACATTGTATCTATGCTTCTCTATTCTATTTGTGAGCTGATAGGCCTTTATATAAAGAAACTATATCTTCTTTGTTAAGGCCAATGAGTGTGAAAGTAGACAGCACACCTTCAACATTTGTTGGCTAACAAGAACTTCAACATTTGTTGGTGTCAAGAAATGGTAGATGTTGCATATTTCTTCACGTGGATCATCCACTTTTATAACATATTCCTATATCACATATCTTGTTGTGAATTACGTACTCCCCTAATATTACTTATATAAAAAGAATAAAAATAAAAATAAAAAACTTGAAAACAAGTTAAGGTTCCCGCCTATTGTGAGGCGGGAGTGAAGCTAAGTTCCCGCGTATTGGGAGGGCAATGACGTGTCATATTCTCCCCAATCATTAATCAGCCCTGAAATTCAAACCCTAATTTACCACAATCAGTTGATGTAACGCATTCCCACATTCGCAGCCATCTTGTAAGAGAACACTCATTTGGCTCACTATCGGCACTTTTGCCCACAAAATTGAAGCGAATATGGTAATTTTTCTTTTCGTTTTCTGTTTAATTTGCCCTCAATTCATTACCATGCATATCACAATTCTTCGATTGATTAATTGTATCTGTGAAATTTGCTGTGCTTGCGGATTTGGGGTTTTCTTGTGGTGGATTTCGGGTTTAAATGCCGAAGATTTCAGTTTCATTTTTGAAGTTGTAGGACATTTCAACTTGTAGTTAAGCTCAAAGGTTTCATTTCTGTATCTAATTTAAAAAGCTCGCAGCTTTATTTGTTGTTGGCTATGGAAATTATGTTTTGGTAGTGTTGGAATTTAGGCCGATGGGGCGCTCGCAGTTAGCTTGAGCCGCTAGGATTGCCTCTTCGGACTTGTCATATCTCAGACTTAATCGAGTCTGATTGAAGTGCTAGAGTTAGAAGGTTATTTTATGCCCAAAAGCAGACTCATTTGAAATGGACATTCGTTCATATGTCTGCATCGCTAGACTCTTACAAGGCTTGCGCATTGTCACTCTGGATATACGTTGCAAGTATTTTAGACTCTTACAAGGCTCATGCTTGTCATTGTGGTAAAAGAGGAATATGAAAATTTATCTTTTGCTCATGACTGAATTAGATTTGGACATTGCTTGTCAAAGTGGAAATTTGAACTTTGTTTTCTTGACACTTATATACACAAATGGTCTTGACACCACGTGTCATTGTGTTAGGTTAATGACTTCTTTGATACTTAATTTTCTTGAAGCAAGGAAAACCATCCGAGTCCTGTTTGAAGAGAAAGATGGAGTTGGATAGAATTAGCAACCTACCAAGTGATGCAATCGATCGAATTTTGTCATGTTTGCCCATTAAAGAGGCTGTGAAGACAAGTGTCTTATCAAGCAAGTGGAGGTACAAAACGGCTTTGCTTACACACCTCGTGTTTGATAATCAGTGCTTCTCGACTCAAAAGCACATAACTTTTCAGAACATTGTTGATCAAGTACTCTTACTTCATATTGGCCCCATACACAGCTTAAGGTTTTTCCTTGTACCTCCTCTAGCCGCTGCTGCTCTTGATCGATGGATTCTTCATCTGTCAAGAAACTCGATTAAAGAGTTAATACTTGAGTTTAGGGAAATTGATGTTTGCTATAATTTGCCTTCATGTTTGTTTTCATGTCAAGATTTGGTTTGTTTGGAGATACGTAATTGTTTGCTAAAGCCTCCTCCCACCTTCAAAGGCTTCAGGAGTTTGAAGAGCCTTTCTATTGGTATGGTTACCATGGCTCAAGACGTGTTTGATAATCTGATCGTTTCATGTCCTCTTCTTGAGAGATTGATTGTGAGCCTATGTGATGGTTTTACCCACCTCAATGTTGACGCACCAAATCTCCAATACTTTGCGTTTGGAGGCTCTTTTGAGACTGTTAATCTTGAGAATACACTAAATCTTGTTGAAGTTGACATTGATTTTTGCGATGAGGACCTTAGATGGGTTTCTCACAGCTCTAGCCATTTGGTCAAGTTTCTTGATCGCCTGCCCTGTATTCAGAGGCTCACAATTCAGAGTAGCTTTTTAGAGGTAATGGATACTTCTTTTACACATGGAAATGGGTATTTGAACATATTCATTGATTCTGCTGCTTTCTGCATCCGTTGTGCTGCAGTATTTGGCTGTTGGTGCCTTGCCCCAAAAGCTGCCCCAACCTTGTCTATATCTGAGGTTTCTTTCTATAACCATTGACTTCCGCCATCTGAATGAAGTTTTAACTGTTCAATGCCTTCTAAGAAGCTCCCCTGCTCTACAAGTACTCGAAGTTCGAGTGAGTTCTGTTCTATTGATCCATGCTATATAAGTATATTCTTTTGCCGAATTAAAAATTGCAAACCAACTTTACCGCATATGTTTCTGTTTGGAGATATGTTTTTTTCACATTTTTAAGAATCTGATGCTACAGATGGTTTGTAGGCCTATGGTTATGGCATGGCTGCTGTGCAAGAAGTGAAGTCTTGGTTTGATGACAACCAGAACTTCCAATTTAGCCAACTTAAACGTGTGAAAATAACCGGAGTTTCTGATTCCAAAACTCAACTAGATTTCATCAGATCTCTGCTCTTAACTTCACCAGTGCTCGAGAGGATGACTGAATCCGTCTTCTGTCAATGGTTGTTCCAAACTTGTGAAAGAGTTGCTCCAGTTCAGGCGTGCCTCCGCTCACGCCGAGATAATATACTTGGGACCATGATTCATCAATGAATTTCAGTAGCTGAAAGAACTTGCTCGCAGAAATGGAAGTGGTTTGTTCATAGTCTTTAATCTTTAATATGTATGTTTGTCTGCTTTCCTCAACAATTGCTCAGGGTGGAAATTATATTTGTCCAATTGAACCAGAGTTTGAAGATGGCTGCAAGAATCTAGTCAAATAAGGAATGGTATGGCACAAGGACAAATGTTTTGGGATGATTGTCACACTTTGACGTTGTTTTATTAACCCATGTGTTATAATATCAGTGAACTACATAATTTATATTTTACAAGTATGCACACATGTGGATCTCACATATCCAATTCTAAACATATTTATGACCAACCTAAACGACACAATATGCGAGTTTCTGTATCAAATCTAAATTAAGGCACAAATGCTGGGCCAATTGTGCGTTTCATTGTGGGTCACATGTTCAATCACATAATAAAATTGACAAAAAATTCCATAGAGTAGACTAATGGTCCATGTTTTGTTAAATTCAAAATCTCAATTAACGGACTTTTAGTTTATGAAACAAATCTAAACTAAGGTCACCGTTCAGAAACAAATGTTAAATTTACTCTAAACTTTTATCCGTTCTCCAACGTCCGGCCTATTGTAAATGATTTTTAACTTAAGTGAGTTAACTAAAAAACGTTTAACTGTGCATTCAAATACACTTCTCCAGATAGTGCCACTTGTATAAAAACATATAAATAAACGTTGTACAAAATTTTTTTTAACCAAAATGATCTCTAAATTTATCATAACTCCTCACTTTGATTTTTGATATTGAAAATCGATAGAAGTGGTCCCTGAGTTTATCCACCATCAATTATGTTAGTACTTCTGTGAATTTTTTTTTTTTTTTTTTGTTAAAAGGAAAAGAAGTGGAGGGGTTGATTGAACAAAAATACCCTCAATTTAATGAAATTTTTTATGGAATGATCAAAATGATTGACGGTAGACAACTTTTATCAATTTTCAATTTCAAGAACTAAAGTAAAGAGTTATGTTAATCAGAAACATTTTTACTAAAATAATGATCTTTTGGTGTTTGGAAGACGCGGGAATGATTGATAAAAAAAAAAAGAGCGGGAATGAAATTAAGTTTTTATCAATCAATAATCAGACCAAACCCTAAGTCTGCTCTTTTCTTCTCCTTCACATTAAAATGTCTGAAAATTCTCAGTTTTCGTTACTACAATCAGTTGATGTGAGCTAAGATTTTGATGCATTCGTAGCGCACTTGCAAAAGAAAAATCATTTGGCGAATAAATTTGACATGAATATAAGTCTTCTTTCTCACTTGCATTCAATTAATCAATTCATACAATAGTCACACTGCAGAGACTATTTATGTAGACAGTAAGGCTAAATAACTCTTATTTCATGTTAAATATGTTGTATTGACTAATTTGTTTATGAGTCATAAGTTATATACTCTACAGGGCAGGATGACAAATTTGGTGTGCCAATAACATTTTTCATTTTCATTGTTAAATAAATTTTTTATGGGTTAAACAGGTTTGCGAATCTAAATGTTACTTTTTCCAATGTGGCAAATCTAAATGTATTTTGATGTATTTAGAGAATCTTGATTCTCATGAAGCAAGGAACTCCATCTGAGTCCTCTTCAAAAAGAAAGACGGAGTTGGATAGATTTAGCAACGTATTAAGTGATGTTATAGACCAAATTTTATTGTTGGCCCATGTGTTAAAATCTAGTTATGAGATGAACAAATGAAGAACAAATTATGGAAAGGATAACAATAGAAGAATTTTCGAAGGGATTCTTGCTCTTTGCAAAATCTAGCAAAGCATATTCAATTGCATCTCTCGCTCTAGAATTCACACTTTTAGTGCTTACATAACCGTTATAATCCAAGGTGGATTCTCTCTCATTACAAAACAATCTCAACCTTTCATCTAACCAGTTGCTAGGATCTTTACACCTAGCATTACTTGCCTTACTAGTATATAGCGGCACACTTGGTATTTTAACTCAAGTGAATACACAAATTGATACACAGCTTATTTCCTAATCAGCTATAGACTTACAATTCAACGCTCCCCTTTAAGTCTAAAGCTGCTTTCACTCCAAGCATACTTCTAAGAAAACTAAATCGATCATTTGCGAGTGGCTTTGTGAAGATGTCTGCCAATTGCTTTTTAGTGGGACAATACACCAAGTCAATGATGCCTTTCTGCAATGCATCTTTGATAAAATGATATCTTTTGTCAATGTGTTTGGTCTTTTGATGAAACATAGAGTTTTTGGTAATAGCAATGACAGAAGTGTTATCATAGTGAAGGGGGGTTGCTTCAGTTTGAAATTCTCCAAAATCCTCCAAAACAAACCTCAACCATATTGCCTGAGCTATGGCTTCAGATACACTTAGGTATTTAGCCTCAGCAGTTGAAAGTGCAACACAATTTTGCTTAACTGAAGCCCAAGAAAACACACCACTGCCAAAAGAAAATGCATACCCTGATGTACTCTTGCTATCCTCGAATGAACCACCCCAATCATTATCACAATAGCCAATTAACAAGATTTTCTTCCCTTCACATATTCCAAACCATAGTCTAGGGTCCCCCTGATGTACCTGAGCACCATCTTTGCAGTTCCATAGTGTCTATTAGTAGGACAGTGCATAACCTAGCTAATAAACTTGTTGTATACATTATGTTCGACCTTTTGGCAATGAGATATAGAAGACTTCCAACAATGCTTCTATACATTTCCTCACTCGCAGGTCCACTTCCATCATCTTTAATTAGCTTCTCAATTGTTACAATAGGAGTTGTCACAAACTTTCCTTCACTTAATCCAAACTTGTTTAGCAAGGAACTTGCATATTTCTTTTGGTGAATGAAGATACTTGAGTCAGTTTGAATTACTGACATCCCAAGAAAATGATGGAGAAGTCCCAAATTTGTCATATCATACTTCTTCTTCATGTCTTCCTTGAACTCTTCTAGCATTGATTTACAACTGCCAATGTAGACTCTATCATCCACATATATAGAGACAATCAAGATGTCTACTCCCCTTGCCTTTATGTACAGTGTTGTTTCACTCAAACTCTTCTCAAAACCACACTGTGAGAAATTTATGTCTATTTCTCCATACCAGGCTCTTGGTACCTATTTTAGACCATAAAGAGCTTTGTGTAGCTTATAGACCTTGTCTTCCTTGCCTTTGACTACAAATCCTTCAAGTTGCTCAACATAAACCTTTTCTTATAATACTTCATTCAAGAAAGCTGAATTCACATCTAACTGGTACAATTTCCAGCTCTTTTGTGCAACCAATGTTATTAGAGTCCTAATAGTATCCAACCCAGCAACTGGGGCATAGATTTCATTGTAATTCAATCTAAGCTTTTGTGCATAGCCCTTTGTAACCAACCTCGCTTTATTTTTCAACACTGAACCATCAAGATTTAGCTTGGTTTTGTAGACCTATTTAACCCCTATGACAGGTTTTTCAGTTGATCTATCAACAAGCTTCTAGGTACCATTCTTCTCAATCATGAACAACTCATCCTCCATTGCTCTCAACTAAGACTCATCTTGTTTAGCATCTTCATATTTCTCTGGATCCATGATACACAGATTACACTGAGCCAATACCTCATCTTATCTAGTTTCCTCCATTTCAATGGTGTATGATCAAATGCTTGAGTGTACTTCTCATTCAGACTTGAAGTACTTGTAGATTCACCTGAAGTGAGTGACTTAGACTGAGTTCTAGAGTCCCCAATACTAAGGGCCCTTCTAGGTGAAGGTGATGTAGGTGATGCAGGAGACAACACCACACTGTCATTTCTTTCAGCACTAGTATCACCATAAGCAAATCTTCTAGTAGTGGGAGAAGGTTGATCTAAATTCTCTTCCTAATTCCAAGCAGCTTCTTCATCAAAGACAATGTCTCTTGACAGGACAAGTTTCTTGGATATTGGATCAAACACCCTATACCCTTTTTCACAAGTTGCATATCCCACAAATACTCCTTTGAAACTTTTAGGCTCAAGTTTGTGTCTGCGTTCACTTGGAATATGCACATAGCATCATGCACCAAATATCCTCAAGTGAGCAATACCTGATTTTCTCCCAGAATAAGCTTCAAAAGGTGTGATATTATTCAAAGCCTTTGTGGGACACTTATTCAGTATATACACTGATGTATGAACTGCTTCTGCCCATAAATAGTATAGCATCCTCTTCTCATGCAATATAGATTTTGCCATCTCAATCACAGTTTTATTCTTCATCTCCACTACTCTATTTTGATGTGGAGTATATGCAAGAGTGAATTGTCTTTGTATCCCTTGTTTTTCACAAAACAGATCAAATTCAGATGACTTGAACACCCTTCCTTTATCACTTCTCAGACACTTAACCTTGAATCCACTATGTAATTCTATCATAGCTTTGAACTTTCTAAAACAGTTGAATGCATCAGATTTGTATCTGATAAAATAAACCCAAGTCATTCTGCTAAGATCATCAATCAAGAGCATGAAGTACTTAATTCCAGCAATTGAATTGTTTTTCATGGGTTCATACAGATCAACATGAATAAGTTCAAATGGAGCATTAGCTCTTTGCACTTGATTTCTTGGAAACTCTTCTCTGTGTTGTTTCCCATATTGACAGCCTTCACATACACCACTATGATCTTTAAGTTGAGGTAAACCATGCACTATATATTTGTCTCTTAATTGCTTGAGACCACCAAAATGTAGATGTCCGAGTCTTCTATGCCAAATCTCAGTGGAATAAGTGACACTAGCTTTCAATGCAATTTGATTCTTAGTTAATAGAGTCAGTGGATAACATCTGTTCACTTTCTTCTTTACTTTAATGACTAAGCAATCCAGTGATGGACCATCAAACACACTACACATTCCACTAGGCTTGGCAAACGGGTTGTGTCTGTCGTCTTCGTGTCGTTTTTGTGTAACACCTATTATCTTAACAGGTCATGTCGTGCCACACCTGTTATCTTAACGGGTCCTTAACAGGTCGGGTCACTTTACCCAATGGGTAAAGTGACCCGACCCGTTAAGAAAAAAAATATTTTTTTTCTTAAATTTGCACATACCACACATTGCCACATAAATATTACTTCAAAATATTAAAACACATTTGTCGTTTAAGTACTACATCTACACTCGAAAATAAGAGCCAAATAAACAAACATCCATACACTACTAGTCTATTACAAAATATTAAATGTGCAAGGATATGTAAAATGAAAGAGTTTTTGTTT